CTGCTCACCATTTGATGCATCCTCCACCATGTAGATAAGACATGATTCATGCAGGGAAGAGGTGGCAGAGGGTGCTGCCCAAATCTAATTTCATGAATCTAGTTTTCCTCCCCTACAAAAGATACTTTCATTGCTCTGCCTCACTCTCAGAACGATTCCATAATGGAATTTTGCAGTTTTCCAAGCTTTCCTCATCACACACACTTTCCATTACACATCCTTCCATTGCTTTGCAGCCTCCCCAACTGCCTGGCATTCCTGCTCTGGAAAAAGCCCTATGGCCGGAATTATGCCATGGACTTAGCCGAAGTGGCGGCAGCTGAGGAAGCGGCTTGGCTTCCAGGGAGATGCTCTTACGTGCAAAGACGTGCCATCTTGGTGTGCGTTGCTCAGTGAGCTAAGAAACCTGAATCCAATGTATGAACATTTTTCAATTTTTCCCTCCTTTGAATTCCTTTTTGCAAACAATTTCTTTCCTATCATATTGAATGATAATGGTCCAAAAAAAGTGGGAGAAGCTTTTCTGGGCACCATTGAGTTTTTGAACTCAAGGAATTCAAGGCAACTTAATACAATCCTCCTCCTCCTCCCAGTCGCATCCTCATCCTCATCCTCCTCTCATCCAGTTGGCTCCCTTTGCTGAGGGAGAACTAGAACCTGGATCCCCCGAGTCCCAGTCCACACGTTTAACTACTACACCACATTGGCATGTGATTGGTATGTTTCTCAGGTTAGCAGTTTTTAAAATCAGCATCCATTTTTATTCTCCTTGTATCATAAAAGGAAATAAAAATACCATTTTAAGAAAATCAAGTATAAGTCGTAATTGTCATTCATACACAAGCCCGCCCACTTTGCAACAATTTCCCATATTACAAAAAGACACTGTGGATGTCCTTGAGTTTGATTCATTTGCTACTTAATAAAAATATCCCTAAAGGAAGCTTTTGTGATTGGCTTAACTGTTGTGCAAAAATAAAAATAACATTGGCAATTAGAACTGAGTTACATGCTTTTAGTGAGTGGGGGTATTTAAGTAATATGTGGCAGCAACTGCAGAATTAGTACCTTTGGGAGGCCAAACAATAGGATATTAATTTTAAAAAAGCAATAAACGACCTGGAAAATGCTTGTCTGTCATCCTATTTGAAACAGAATTACTCATGAAAGAATTGCACTTAAAACATGTCATTATCACCAGCAGAATTCAATAAAGATAAATTAATTCAGTAATATGAAACAATGGAATTATCATGGTATGGCCCTCTTGCCAAAGCCCTCTTTTACAAACCTCACTGTTTACTATCAGAAATACAATGGGATAATTGGAAGTTGTATTTCAAAACAGACTGCTCATATTTTACTTAATCTTTCTTTTTTACAGCTCATCCAAATCTTCCTTATTAAACTATATGTCTTCCCTCCAGATCATTTAGCACCTTTTCACTCTCCCAGTACCTCAACCTCAGGATATCAGACACAACATTAACAAAAAAAATTCACTAGTGTGGCATGGAAGAGAGAAGACGAGCTTCTTACTTTAAATTGAGTCTAGCAGCTCACAAATGTTCTTCTTACATCAGTCTTGGTGTCTGCAGTGCCCAGAATAATACTTAAACATTTCAAAACTGTTTAATTTTGTCCTCCTACCCTTACTGCAAGCAGGATTGTTTGAACACACCTAAAGATTTAGCTTCCTGGCAGTTTGAGTGTTCTGAAAACTTTATGCTAGAACTAATCTAATCTCTGGGATTTGTAAATGAGTCTTCCTTCAAAATATTCCCTAAATAGGAGAAATGATTGTAGATAGCTCTTGCCCAACCACTAGTTTTGTGGAAATCTGTATTTGATTCGGTTGGGTTATAATTAACATACAAAATATTATTTTTAAAAGAAGGAGGGCAGGAGGAGACACTCCATTGTGCTTGCATACACAAAATAAAAAAATAAAACTGTAATGATAGCAATCAGAACATTTTGTTACAGCTTGGTCAATGCACCAATTACATCCCAAATGATCTAAACAAGTAGTTAGAGCAGTATAGTTCAAATATTTCTCATTTGTGGGTTTATTGGTTGTATTAATGTGACTTCTTCCATCCATAAGCTGAAGGTCTTCAGCAACACTGGTAGCTTCACTGATATTTCTACACCGATAGCTATGCATGAGATATCTGAAAACATAATTTACCTCTCTAATTGTGAAATTTCAAAGAGATACCCTCCTGATGAATTTCTTTGAATAATCACTAATAATTACATCTCAACTTGAGCAGCTAATTCAAACAACAACATTGGGGTGCATCTGTTTTTATGCCCTACTGTACTCTGAAAACCTAAGATAGGTTTCCATTGCAACTGGTATCTGTCCCAGTTTTAAAACCTGCACACTGTTACGGTGAATGATTGTCTGTGTGTGGAAGCAAGCTTGCACAAACAGGCTCATCCCACTGAGTGTCTGAGTTGCAAGGAAAGAGCAAAGGAGAAAAACTTCCACAGCATCTCCAGGAGCCCTGGTTGTCCACACTGCTCTATCCCCAATCCGTCAATCCACGAGCACAACAGCAATTCCTATACCATGGAGTGGGTGGATTCACAGGAGGCGTATCTTCCCACCCCACTGCCAGACCATTGGTCAGTCATATGCTTAGGAAAGCACTGTATGTGCACATGCAGCTGATTGTGCAAAGCTCTAGATGTGGCCTTCATGGAAAAGGCTGGTCCAGCAGGCGGACCGGTCCTTATATGCACGCATGTGGCTTGGAGCATCAGGTGATTCTGCTGTCACCGATCCAAAACCACAGGCTTAGTGGCACCTCATGTTACCTGCAGCCACGTGCTTTCTTGATGGAATCCATTCTTACATTCAGGTGTATGAATCAAGAATTGAACAATCAGGTCGGGACACATAGGCATGAACCAACATACAGCCAAGCCTTGTACATGTGACCCAAGTTTCTGGAATACGTCAAGGAAAAAGTTATGCATTTACTGGAAGCAGCTGAGTATCTTGAGTGAGAGTGAGAAGGGTCCCCTAAGTCCAAAGCTTCCAGGAATTGTTGAAAGATCTCCATCAAATAGCCAGTTTGTTGGGAGTAAGCCCTAAAATTCAACAGGGATTAAACTGCTTCCAGCTAAGGCTTTTGTTGTCCAATCATCCCGCCTTATTCACGTAATTTTATGTGGGAGCTGCAGATCATCATCTGCCATTTGTGATCTTCCAATTTCCCCTCACCTCTTCTTTCGTTCCCCCTCCCTCCACCCCAGCACAGAAAATCCATTCGGGGAAGTAGGGAGTTGGAACAGCTGCAAAATATCTTCTAATTCATGGTGCTAAGAGCTGTCCATCTGGAATGAGGAGGTATGGATTTTGTTAAATCCATTCTGTCTGTATTTCATGGATTGTTAGGCATCTTCCATTCAATCATCTGCACTTTGAAGGAATTGGATAATTTTTGCTTTTGGCCAGAATTCCATTCTACTTGGGCTAATTTGCATTAATGAGCATTTGGACATTTGTACAGATGTGCTAATGTACTGCAGCACTAATGCAAATTAGCACAAATCCCACACGGAAGTGGTAAACTGGTTTTCATGTCCATTGAATCCATACGGGTTGGCAACAGCCAGTTTGCTGTGGAATCCACAAGCTGGATTCATGGAAATCTCAACTCATTCAAATTCGTTAAAGATTTTTCAAATAGCCCTCATTCAGAAGCTCCCTGGATTTGCTTAGTTATGGATAATCCTAAATATGTCAATATTGGTGCACTATTTTGAAATTATCCACCATCAGCACCATGATGTTTGTGAAGCATCAGCACAGAAAGCAGCCAGCTTGTGAAAACTACTGAAACTGCAGCCTTCATGCCAATCAATTATGGTGAGTCTGTTTTAGGTAATTCTACCATAGAATAAATGCTTTGGACCCTGGTTCTATGCATGCTTACTCAAAAACGTGCCCCAAATATTTTATGTAGTTTCTCTCATATAAGTGTGGTTACCAGGGTGCAGAACCTCAGACCTGGGGGCCAGATCTCCTGACTCTCCCCTTCCCCTGCTCCAGCTACTTTCCCCAGACACCAATTATTTGGTGATTCCTTGGCTTTTCAGCTGGTGAAATGCCTTCCTAGGACTTATTTACTGGCAGTTACAGTCTTAAGCTTAAAAACACTGGGATTTTTGGTATTTTGGACCTGCCCTTTGTGCTTTGGCCCTACCCCCTTTGCCTCTTGCCCTACCCATTGCTGTGTTGTGGCCTCCAAGAGCGTCACTGCAAAGGAGTTTGGCTGGAAGGCTGAAAAAGCTTCCACATCCCTTTGTCCTGAGGGCCAAACTAGAATGGCGAAAGGCGCATGCCATGCTGGATCACTCACTCATTGAGCCATGTATGTATCAAACAGGTGTAAGGTCTGATTTTAGCATCAAAGAGAGTCAAGGCTGAGCTGAGTCTGGCCTTCCCTGTTCCTTGCCTTCTCTCCCCATGGTCAGTGGGCCAAAGTCCTCTAGCCTGCTCTAATACTGGAAGTCAGGTGGGGTGGGTGTGGATAATTCCCCATAATAATTAGGCTCAGAGGAAGGGAATTGGAGGGATAATGAGGAAGCAAAAGGGAAAATATACCCCCCAGTCTGTCTGACTAGATAAAATACTTTATCTTAGGATTTTAAGTTTTGTGAACCATGCAGAGAGCTTTGGTTATTGGGTCATAGAGAAATGTATGATGATGATGATGATGATGATGATGATGATGATGATGATGATGTTATTATTCAGTTACCCTCTGCTGCATACCTCTTTTAAAGTATCTGTATGTGAATGAGACAGATGTGTACTAAATAAATATTCCTGCTTCTGCCATATCAGGCTCAATCCTCAGTTCCTAATTATTCATTAATGTAGAAAACAGCGCACGAGCTGAAAACCACATCCACAATTTCAAACATAACCGTAAGTGCAAGAGCCGCCCAGCCCAACCACCTTCCCGGCTTGATTCACTTACCAATGGGCATGATCAGGAAGAAAGGAAGCCAGCACAGTATGAAGCATCCCACAACAATTCCCAAGCTCTTAGCTGCTTTCTTCTCCCGGGAGAATTTTAGGAGCCGCACAGAGAAGTGGGATTTGTGCTTGGTGCTGGGAGTGGATCCCGTGGTTTCTGGGGCGTTTTTGCGGTGGATCCGGAGAGTCACTTCTTCTGAATGGGACTTCTCGGTCTTCAGACCACGAGACAACCCCTTGCTTTCTCTTTTGGCCACCACGTACACCCGGCAGTACATCACTAGTATGATGATCAAAGGGAGGTAGAAGGAACCGAAGGCGGAGAACAGCACGTAGCCGGGGTCGGTGTTGATCTGGCAAATCTTTTCATCCTCTGGAGCGGGCTGTTTCCAGCCAAAGAGGGGTCCTATGGAGATCACGAGGGAAAGTGCCCAGACGCAGAGCAGGGCAAGGAGGCCCCGCTTCTCTGTCACTATGGCTGGGTATCTCAGTGGGTAGCTGACCCCAATGTATCGGTCTATCGAGATGACGCAGAGGCTCATGATGGAGGCAGTGCAGCACAGCACATCCACAGCTGCCCAGATGTTGCAGAACACCCTCCCAAACACCCAGTAGCCCAAAACCTCAAAAATGGCAGAAAAAGGGAGGACGGTGGAGGTCAAGAGGAGGTCGGCCACAGCCAAGTTGATAATGTAATAATGGGTTACACTTTGCAGGTGCTTGTGGCAGGCCACTGAAAGGATCACCAGAATGTTGCCCAAGACCCCAAAAACAATCAGCCCCCCTAAGATGACCCCTAATAATATCGCCTTTGGAATATCTACTTGCCCCACAGTCTGGGTGCAGTTGAAGCAGTCAGAGGCTGAGATGTTCTCAGAATTCAAGCCCATTATTGAAATTGGTTAATGTTCATCCAATCTGTTTGCCATTCACTCTGCCTTTTCTCTGAAAGAGGCAAGAGCAAATATTTGGTAGCTTTGCCAGAAAGTTTATTTCCACATTGCTGATCAATGCTAACCCAAAACATGCATCTTGCTTTATCAATGCAGAAGAAGCAATGAAACCTTAGAGAGAGATGGATATTTGAAAAGCCACATTTCTGCTCCAATTAGATATATATATTTTTTTTCTGGCTGAATAAACAATGCTTGTGTCCTTTTAAAGGCAGCATTCGGGACATGGTCCTTGATGTTCTCCATAACTTCTGGTCATTTGATGATATTGTATTGAATAGTAAGCCAAAACTTTCTCACCTAATTTCGGTTGCTTCTTTAAAGAAATGCCCATGAAGCCATAATGTGTCTTCTGCTACGATACGTGAAAAAAATGTTTGGGTTTCTAAAATAGCCATCCACATCCAGAATGTGTTTATTTATATTTCTTTCACTGGAAAGAGGGAGAACAAAGGGTAGTCACATGTTGTTTCCTGTTTATTTGTGTTCTTTTCATATTTGACTTTTCAGAATGCTTCACGTATTGAACAATAGCTGGTGGGGGTATTACGTGGGTTTACGGCTTCATCTCTGTTATCAACATCCATGGCATGTTTTATGATCCTGAGATGTAAAGCAAAAATCCTGAAGGCATCAGAAGCTCAGCATCTTGACAAAAGGACCCAAGCTATGAGCTTATTAACCATGTCAGTCATAACTTGAAAAAGAGACTTGAGAGGAGTGTTCTCTTTGCTGGCAGATGGGCTTCTTCCTAAAGAAGAGAAACACATTTCAAAACAAAACACAAAAACGCACGGACTTGTTGCTGACTAGTTTTCTGAAGCCAAGGAATCAGTTTGACTTTTCCTGATCATGTGAAGGACCAACCGATGTTGACTGGCACAGTATGCCCTCAATAGGTGCTGTTTCTCAACCCCTGGAAACCTGTGCAGCTTATAGTTTTCTGGAACCTCAGGCAAAATGCATCTGAAAGTTTTGTCAGTCAGTACCCTGCAGTAGCAACACATGGGGAGAAAGTTAGATATTTCAGAATGTGTGCACATAGAGGAACACATTCCGATTCCCTCTGTTAAAGACAGACAATTATATACCCACCCCCACAAAAAAAATCTACGGACAATTTCATAGCCTTTCCCTGATGCTTTGGACTCCATTTGCTACGATCGCTGGATTTGCTGGCTGGTAGTTTTTATGCGAAGTATTCAGTGGGCAACACACCAACTGTACTAAGCAGCTCTGGTAGGTGCAATTTCCTACATGAACTGTGAGAATAACAATTCTCTCCTTCCACATTTTATTCCACATTAACAATGATACCGTGTTCACATTGCTGAATAGTGCAAGCGAGAGGGTGCCTCGTTTGTTTGCTGCCTAGTGCACAGGGGTCTTGTTCATTCACTGGAGAGCTCTGGGTTTGCATTTGTCCAGGCTAGAGGACTTAATTTGTTATACAGCTCCTTCCATTTTCAGGACCTGAAGATAGCTCAAGGTACATGAAGAAATCCCCAGGTATCATTTTGGGCATCTCATGTTAAAAGGAGCAGGTGACAAGACCGTTTCTGCCGGAGGCCGTGGGAGAGTAGCTGAGAGTCTAAGGAAACATTAATGTGCCAGTTAGACCAAGAATCTGACATCATTCTATGTTCCTATAATTAAAGAGTTGGGCATTCAAAGAAGGGCCCCGGGAGTGCTTGAACCTGACTGCCACCCTTGAGGAAATCAAGTCACTTACAGCAAAAGGCATTCGAGAAGCACAGAACAAAAACTATTCTTCATTCCGTCTCCCTGTGCTGGGTGCGCATCGGGCAGAGCCTATTCCACCCCAAAGGCCAGGTTCCATTTCAGATAAGTCGGGGGCACGGGAAAATGTGTGGCACACCAACACCCAGAACATCAGAGTATTTTAAAGTCTTTACTGCCGCAAACTAACAAGAGTGGCATTTCAACTTTGTAAAATGGGGGGGGGAGTGCGCCAAGGTGGGGAACTGCTCAACCATTGGCCCTTTAGGAAGGGGAAGGAGGGGAGGGGCTTCTGAGGAACCCCAGCAGAACAGGTGTGGACCTGGGGCTTGAGGTTCTGCATCTCTGTTATTGAGAGTAACGAAAGCTGAGCCTGTGCGAGCTGTCCGTTGGAGAGGCTCGAACTTCAGGCATGGAAGCTGTACGTGCATCTGCCCAAGATGACTGAACTTTGGATGCACCCCCCCCCAATCTTGACAGCATCCACAGCCATTCTGAGTGAAAGCACCAATTTACCAGACAGGCTGTGTTGTGTGTTTCATCTCACTGCATTTCTCCAGAATGCCTCACAAAGGTTTTTACTACCCTTGCTTCCTACAATCTTTCTTTACTACATGGGTGGGGAACCTGTGGAGTAGAAACCATTGATTTCAAACCGTATCAGCCTAAGTGAGAAGGGCCAACAGTTGGGGATTGGGAAAGCTGTAGTCTAGCCACTTCCTGGAAGGCCATTGGTTGGCTACCCCTGCTTTATTAGCTAGAGAGGTCATGGATGAACTAAGACTTGCACAAGCTAGTGCCCCTTTCCAGATAAACAAGTTTGCTTTTGGCTCTACAGTCAGAGATTTGATAGGTTCAACTTGGAACCTTCTGCATGCCAAACCAGTGCTGTACCACTGAGCAATGAATTTATGCACCAGCTACTCGAGAAACTGCAGAGAAAACACATTGCAAAGGAGGTGAAACTAATTCCTGTAGAATGCATATTGATGGAAAAGCAGAAATCAGGTACAGGCTGATCATGGCCAGAGAATAACCCCACCTGTAACTAATGATGTCCCATTTTCCACCCCAATTCATGATACTTCCCTTTAGAAGAGATACTTCAGAGTTCACCGATGGTTTGCTTAAGTTTCAATTGAGACTGGGGATTTCTCTCCCATGACATGGGTTAAATGAACATACAGCAAAATTTGCACGACGCATCATTGCCAACCAGTGTTGGCCAGGAAGGGTTATACACCTTGTATATAAATAAGCTCGATAAAGAACGCTATGGAGAAATGGGTTTATATTCTGCAATTCCTGGCCATCTGATCCCAACGTTAATATGTTTTTCCCAGACGTGTGTGAACACACAATTCACGTGTCTAATAAAGTGGCTCTAGATTAATCTTCAGTCTTTAGGGAGCTACAAGACTCTTAGTTATTCTCCCCACTTCACTGCAGAGTAAAGGGAATCCTCCTCGTAGTTTCAGCAAAGGGAAACCTCACTGAGATTTCCTCAAGATTATGGACTGACAGTTGTAGACTTTAAAAGAAATGGACCAAAGCACCACTTAACCACTCTACCTCTTCTGAAGACAGTCTTTCTTTCTTTCTTTCTTTCTTTCTTTCTTTCTTTCTTTCTTTCTTTCTTTTCTTCCTTTGAGAGGAAGAAAGTGCTCAAGTCCATGAGTGAAAATAGGTGAGGGGAAAGTGCAGATGAAAAACACTCATTTTCAGTTGGATACGAGAGACATTTCACAAGTAGGGGGGCATTGGAACATTAAGTTTGCTTCCCCCCCCCTTTTACCTTCCTTCCCGCAAGAAGGGAATAAAAGCCAGAATAAATCCTAATAAAGGGAGGCTTTTTAGAAAGCACACGAAGAAGCAAAAATATGATACCCCATTTGTAAGCATTCTTTGTTCAGTGCTCCTGTTCTAATGTCTTTTGGAATTAAAATGGGATTTCTCAAATGCATGAAGATGGGAATGGACAAATGAATCCTATCAGCGTTACCCAGTGGCATGGAAAAAAGAAAGGTTGGTGAGGCGGAGGAAGAAGGCAAGGCAAGGCAAGGCAAGGGGCAGGCTAGAAGACGGCAATCAAGAGTACCAGTAGGAAGACCCGGTGCTGGGCTGCTGCCCCCATTTCTCCCTCTGCTTACCTACTTCAGGCTGCAAGGCGACAGCTGACCTCCTGTTGCAGGAGCCTCCCCGATCAGCACAGCGGGGCAGCCGGCTGGCAAAGCACCGCACAGATAAACACACAAGCAGCCCCACGCCCCGCTCCCCAAATCTTGCGCCAGTCGCATCTCCTTCTCAGCGTAGTCTCCCGATGACTCACAAGGACGCCAGTTCCTCCTGTCCCGATGGCCGAGGGCGGCTGGCTGCCTGGCCCGTGACGCCGCGGCTTCCCCGGTTGAATAACACCCGGCTTGGCACGGCCGAGGCGGAGCGGCAACTTTCCGCGCGGCGGGCTGATGCTTTGGGCACGAGGCTCCCTTTCGATGTTACCGTAATCTCCCGCCAGCTACCGTATTGCAGCACAAGCGAGGGCACGCGCGACGTTGCCACCGGTCCTGCCTGCTGCCGACTCCCTCTCTGTCTCCGCCTCGGTCTCTCCTCTCCTCTGCTCTCCCCTCCCCTCCTCTCCCGCTTCGTCTCCTTCTCCCCCCGCTCCCAGCTTCTTTTTGAAAGGTGATCGTCCAGGAACGTCTGGGAGCTGCTATTAGCAGAGATCACTCGCCCAATTTGTCTGTTGAGAAATCTCTGGGAAATGAAGTGGCGCAAAAATATCATAGCGAGTTTCTCAGGGAATACTCAGCTATCCATGCCTTTCCCTGAATTTGCATATTCCGTTTTAGCTGGATAATCTTGGGCTTCGTGTCGGTTGTGTTTTGCGCTTGCTGTGCACCTTTCTGTGTGATCATATGGAGGAGGGGGGAGCGTCGCGCTTTATGCATGCGTGTCGATTGCAATTTCCCGTGACTCATGCAAGGAGGTGTGTGTGAAGATTCATGCACGTGTACTAGTCCTTTGCCAACCCGAATGGCTAAAAATTGAGACAGGCAGAGAGACGCGGTTAAAAGAATGCGTAGAAAGAATCTACTCGATTGCAACAAGTTGAGATTGCGCGTGCTCGCGGGCGCTCGCCTTCACGCCTAGCTGTCTGCGGGGCGAGAGCGCTGATCCGACCATTCCCTTGTTCATGACTGAACACGTATCTGAGCAGAGAGAGAACTGAATTATGCGACCTCCTGCAAGGGGGTCGCTGTACATATCCAATGGTACCATGTGATCAAGTGTGGATTTATTTTCTTAAGAATGTATTCTTAAGGCAGCTTACAGTTAAGATCAGAAAACATTCAAAATCAACAGTTAAGGCGGGTTTCTAAAATTAGCCATGGGACTGTCCATCACATGTATAATCTAATGCCATCATTAAGCAGGAACAGGTGGGTGCACCTTCTTCCTACCTGGACACACCCCGCCAAAAAATAAAATAAAATAAAATAAAAATCGATTTACTCAAGAGGACAAGCTCTGAAAGTGTTGCAATTTCCACTGGAAGAATGGTGACTCTTCTTCTCCTTCTGTTCTGAGGAGGAATATGGCTGTTTAAAACACGGTTGTCTACAACTAGCTTTCCCCCAGAGTGGGAGCTTTGAACGGCATGGATCTGATTGATCTGATTCAGACAGTTATGGCAACACAAGGAGGCTTTTTCACACTGGTCACACCCTTGCACCGTTTAGCTCTTGTGGCACTGAGCGTGCTGGGAATGTGCTGAGGAAGGCCATGAATGCAGACGGCGCCACTTGGCCATGGAGAGAAGCTTGCATATTTCTGAAGCTCATAAGCTGTGCAGACAAGGCATTGCATCTTTACTTGGAAGCTCAGAGGGGCTTTCTCCCAAGTAAGAGGGTTCGATCCAGATCCAGATCCAGATCCAGATCCAGATCCAGTCATTTATAGAACAGAGCCATTGAATGGGATTTCATTGGTTTTGGCTTCTTAAGAATAGTAACAAACAACTGAATATAACAAAATCCATACGCAGTTCTAACAATGATTAACTTAAACCCCACGGAAAAAGGGGGAATTCTAGTAGGCAAGGTGGAAAAGAGACCAGGGAGGCCAGGAAGGGATTCATTTGGAGTCTCTTCTAGTCTTCTTCCCCCTGCTCTGAAGAACCAACACAAGATGAACTGAAAAGCCCATATAGAGAAATTTTAGGAGATCAGAGGATGGGAGCGGGTGGGGGGCAAATATAACTTCTGCCACTCTTTATGCCCTGCCAACTTTAGCCCAGGAGGGCCCAGGAATCACAGAGCCCTTCAAGATCGGGGGCTGCCAAGTGGGGTGGGGTGGGGGGGGGCAATCATAGAATCTTAGACGCATGGAAGAGTAGAGTTGGAAGGGACCGGAAGGCCATCAGTTCCAACCTCCTGCTCAGTGCAGGACTCCAAGCGGAACCATTTTCTCAGCTTTCTGTGCAGCTGCAGCTTGGATGCCTCCAGTGTGGGAGAGCCCGTCCCCTCTGCAGGTAGTTGCTTCCATTGTCATACTGTTCTAACTGTAAGGAAGTTCTTCCTGATATCTAGCTGGAATGTGGCTTCCCATAACATCAGTCCATTATACCATATCCTGTACTTCCAAGGTATGGCCGGAACACTTTTATTAAAATCTGTACATTGCCGCTTATAGGGTACATTTGCTATTCACGGACAACAGTCCAAGGAAGCACCCCAGTCGGCCAGCTCACCTTCTGGGAGATGGGAAGTGTCGCCATCAGGTCAGTGGTTCAAGTAAATGAACTTGGGGAAAGGAATCTGGTGGGAGCATACAATATGCATGTACAAAAGACTTAAGCACATTTTAGTACAGAGTGTTGGACTGGACTGGGACTCAGGAGATCCAGATTCTAGTCCCCACTCAGCCACAAAGCTCACTAAGTGATTTTGGGCCTCTCGCTGATTCGCAACCTAACCTCCCTCCTTCACTGGGCTGTTGTGAAATTAAAACAGAGATGAAGGGAAGGATTATGCTGGGCACTTTGAGCTTCTTGCAAGAAGAAAAGGGTTGGAATATAAATGCATGCATGTGTCATTTTACAAAATGCATCATTTGTGGAATAAATCCAAATATTCAGTGCCTGGATTAATAATTCTACACCTTCCCCCCCCCCAAATGAAAATAACACTCCAACAAATGCAGAAAAGCTGATGACACAGAGTAGCTCATAACATTCATGACTTGTATTTTTATTTTTCTCTGGATCAATTCGTCTATATCCCTTCCTATGCGTCACAGGGAAGTAGGTGCTATTATGTTTGCAAAACAGTGTGAGAGATTATTGCCTTTTAATGAAAATCAAAAATATCATCCTGAAACTTTAGCTCTGCCAGCACATTCTTGTATGACCTTGAGCATCTTCTGGCCTTGTTCACCCATGTGCAACTTAACAATGATTCACAATGGCAAACTGGATGGGCAAAACACTGGGTGGATTTATTTACTTTTTTATTTATTTGAAACATTGTTATCCTGTCCTATACAAAAGTCTCAGGAAGGCATCCCATCTGCATGTTTCTTTCCTTGTGTTAAAAGGATCAAAGGGATCAGTTTAGTGATAACTAGAGGAAAATACAGACAGTGAAAGAAACTGAAGGAAAAATAATCCATGTGGATCCATGTGTCATTGATTGCCCCATCCAGATCAACTTTCTTTTCCTGAATTCACTTTGGGAAACCTCTATTGGAAATAGTGCTGCAGTGATATGAGCCAGATCAGGTCAACTGGGCCCTTGGAAGAAGCCACAGAGTCAACGGATCAATAAGGTCTTTCTTCATACAGTCAAGACACTGAGTCTTGAGCACTCATAACCTTTCCTTAATTCTAACTCTCTCAGGCACCGAGCATCATGTTAACGTAACTGACTTGGATGGACGGATGCCTGAGCGACAGACAGGGTTGGATACGGAATTGGTAATCTTAGGTCTCACAGAAATCAGTGAGTTAAGTTAGTCTCACTGATTTCAGCCCCATTGATTTAAGAGAGAATTAAGGTCAAGTTACTTACAAAGACATCCCATGACCCCTTAGACATAGGACCCTGTGACTTCCCAGATCTGGGATCAGCCTCCCCACACTTGCAGCCAATGCAGAAAGAGACATACCAGTTGCTTCTCCAAGGTTGGAGAAGTGACCTCAGAGAGTGGTAGGGATTGGGAGTGGTGTGGAGGGGGAGGAGGCTGGAGCCACCTGGATAGGAGTTTCCCTGAGAGCCTTCCAGCTTCTCTTCCTTCCCAAGTGCTTCAGCTACATGACTGCAAACATCCATAGAGCTGAAATGCAGAGCAAGAGGAGTGCGAGGGCAAAGGTTACTTCCTGCTTTGCACAAGATGCTCATAAACCAGTGCAGAGCTCCAAAGTTCAGAGGTGTGCAAGCTTTCTGGGGCAATCAATAGGATGGTGCCCTGGGTCTGCTTCCAGTGCATTATCTCCCGAAATTTTCATGCAACAGTACTGATTATCGATCTGTTATTAACAAATGGGGGTATAGAATAATTTAACGCAATAACACCTTAATACCTTTTTGTAGAGGGCCATAACAATACAGCATAAAACCGCACCTAATTTCAAAATTAATACCATGCATCTCCACCGGTTTCCTTGAATGGCAAGAGCAGAATGATAGTTCTTGAGGGAGCATATGCTGCTGATTGGCACTGACAGGCTTTCCAGACAAAAGGCTTCTGTGTGAGATGATGCCCTCAAGACGAGATCTCCTGCAGATCTTAATAACCAGAGAGCTTCTGATGAGACAGGCAGTCCCTTCAAGGTGACATTGCTGCCATCGTGGTGCTTTCAGCATCTCCAGCAATCATGACTTCTCTTTTTATATTTGCATTCCTGTCCAATACAAGCAAGGGAGGCTTTGGCCATTTAAAGCCTAAGAAGGTGAAGCTTATCAGAGGCATCTTGTGATAATCCAGACTCTAAGGTCCGAGGTTAGAGACAGAGCTCTGACTGCAAAGCTGGAGAGTTCCTTCTTCCATCCCATGCTTCTGTGGGTACAACCATACCAACCAGCTTGCTCTCCCAAGGGGAGGAAGTACAGGGGGATTTGTGGGGGGACATGAGGAGACTGGGTTTGCCGGGATCCAGGGTCCCCTTCGGCACTACAGCTTCTTTCTCTTTCCCTCTGAAACCCCTCGGTCGCGTGGCTGCAATCAGTGTGCCTTCCACACTGCACTGCTTCGTTGCAAGCTCTTGGGTGTGGGTGCTGATGAGTCTCAAGGCTGGTTTACTCCAGCTTAGGTTCAGCATAGACCAGGATCCACCTCCTTTCCCACATCTCATCCTTACTGCTAAGAAGGGAAGGAAGGTGCATTTATCAATGTCACTTATTCCCAGACTTTCCCGTTCGTGATCTGCGTTAGGTTACAAAAATGATTACAAACAATCCAGTCCACTAACTCACCACCAACAATGCAAAAACTGTTGAGTAAAATGTGATTCAGGGTGCCATGATTCCATGAACTCCATGGAAGAAGTATGAGATACAAAAAAGGGGAAATAAAT